ATGCATTTTAACGCCACTTTAACTACCATGGCTCTATGCTATGGAATTCTGGGAAGTAGTTTTGTAAGACCTTTTGTCTTCTCTGTCAGAGACCTTTGGTACCACAACAAACTACAAATCACAGGATTCCACAGCAATCTGGATACAGCCAATGGCTTTGTTAACTGAAGTATGGTTGTTTTTCCTTTTGCCATAATACTTCTCAGCATTATAATAGGTTGCTCTTCAATTTAATACCTGATATGGCTTTTCATGGAACTATTTTAACTATACGGTATTGTTAAGATTTAACTATATTATTAACAACTTTTAGATCTGCTCAGTTTTGAATAGATTCTGAAAATGTGGGGTTTCTTCTAGACGTGGAATGGGAAGAATGCGCCCATATCCAGATTCAAGAGGTCGAAGAGGAGGACGAGGGGGACCACTTTTCCCACCATCTCCGCCCATGATGAGAATGCCTTTTCTGCCTCCTCCCCCACGGTTAGTAGTGAGGATGTTAATGTGTGTATATTTTAAAATGATGACTCTGTAGTTTCAGTTATGGCTGTGGTCTGGGCTTCTTCACCCAACTATGTTTTTCACTTGGGCAATTTATGAGTTGCAGTGTTTGAGTTTTCTGCTGGCAGAATTCAAAAGAATTGGGACTGAGAGACTGATACACAGTGTAACCAAGTTTGTAATTTGAATGTAACCTGTGTGTAATTCTCCCTCCTTTTTTCAGAAGGTTTTGTTGTCCTTTGAAAGTGTATTTAGATGGAGAAGATAGAATTGTTTGATCCTGTATTGTGCCCCCAGATCATTTAAAAAATATAAATGCAGGGAAAAAATGTTTTGTTGCCAAATGGGCAAAGATAGTCATATGCTGGTGACTTCATGGAAACAGGGAAAGTGCTGAATCTTTTGTGGGGATTTTCCATTGAAGAAAATTACACTTGGCAATTTTTGGTTTTTTCCTTCTGGAAGTATAAATTACACAAACAATACCAATCTAGTTGGGTGTTTTTCAGTGCCAGGAGTGCTCTGTAGGAAAGTTTTTAGAGTAGTAATTTTGCCTCAGGTAAATTTTGACCAGATAGTGATCTTCCAGAAAAGTGAGCAGATGGCATGTTTATATGTCATGTTAAACCAGCTTACCCAGCTTTGCATTGTTATAGACTACAACACCTAGCATTGCTGACTATTGGTAGTGTTTACTGGGGCTGATGGAAATTAGAATCCAGAACATCCGGAGGGAGTCAGGTTGGGGAAGAGTGTGCTAAACCATGGTTTAGACCAGGCAAGTCTCAGGCTTTGGTGCTCTCCACTTTCTTTTAGGAGAGAAGAATAGGACGATAGGGATTCTGGAAGCTACCAAAAATAGGATCTTTTAAATTAAATTTTCTATGAGAACATTGTCCTCTACCATACTTTAAAACATTTTTTTTCAAGAGTAGGTTGGGAGGTATTCTTTTCAAGATTAGTATCGATTGGACTTTGTTGTTTGACAGATGAGGAGTCTAGCTTCAATAAATATTAAATTGAGAAGTCCTTTTTAGAAAGTTAAAAAGCACTATCCTGGTCCTATCTCAGAGGTGGGGAAAGTTGTGTTTATACTAAATTTAAAACAATTAGCCTAAGTCCATCCCATCCCCTCTCCCCCATACCAGTGACTTCGAATTCACAAGGTGTTTTTAAAATTTCCCAATTCTAAGCACAAAAACATCTCTATGAAGCAGGAAGGCCATATGTGTTAGTATGTGAGATGTTATTTGATCTAATAGTTGAATGATGACCATCAGATTGATCTCTCTGTGCAGATACGGACTTCCTCTTCCCCCTCTTCCTCCACCTCCACCACCAGGATTAATGGGCTTCAGGGGCAGACCTCTTCCCCCTAGAGCCAGAGGGATGTTGCCATGGCCACCAGCCCATTTTCCACCTCCAGGAGGGTAAGAATATTTCTTTACTTTCTCTATTTAAGCTAATTGTATTCCACACTTAGATGGTCTTACATATGATTCTTTAAAACCTTTGACAAGAGATTTAAGTATCAAAATTAAAGCCACCCATGTGGACTTTTAAAAACATTAGGGTCTTTTTGCTAGCATATTTTATCATCTTGGAAGCCTTTTAAACATGTGTGGTGGAAGCCTACTCCAAATTGCAATGTGATATTTTAAGTGTAATATATAAAAGTTACTCTTTTTGGAAGAGAAAACCAATTACAATCTTGTCCTTTTATACAGCTTTCCCAATGGACCCCGTGCACCAGCCCCTCCGCCACCTGGACGGGGCCAGAGATGGCCTGGTCCGCCAGGTGGCAGACTCTATTAAAGAGGCTTATTCTTTAATTCAGTAACAGAGATTCTTGCTCCTTACGTTGAGACCATTTGCAATGGCTGGACTAAGAACTGCCTGTAAAGCATTAAAGAGGGCAAAGAAAACTAATAGAACTCTGGCATCCATATTTTTCCAGCAGCCCTTATGCACCAAGTTGGTAAAAGCCATATATTTAAAAACATACCCTAAAGATCTGTGACTCCTTGGATACTTCCAAGCATATCCTTTTCAAAGTCTGGAGTTTGGGGAAACTGATACCTGCACACTAAAGTTTTTTTGTAAAAAAATTAAAAATGGGTCAAGCTTTTAATTTAATCTTCAGATTGTTTATATTTAAAGTGTGTGCAGTTTTTTTAGTCTAGATCTCAATTTGTTTCAGTAATATGTATTTGTAGCCTCTAAATCATGTGAACTGTTGTTTCAAATGCACTTCCATTTGGTAATAGTAAATGCAGCAACATGCTTCATATTGGGAGGGATAACTAACTTTTAACCGCGTAGAGATTTTACTATATTGAGCAGTGTATTAAAAATAAATAATACATTATGATGTATGATGGCTGGAAATGTAACTAGTACACAAAATGTAATGGAGAAAACAAACTCTGAATGTTAAGTTGAGAAGAAATTTTTTTTTATAAATGAACTAAAGTTTATGGGCTTTGTTTTAATTCAGTTTTAAATACAGCTTGACCTTTCTGTTTAAATTGCTAATGGCACAATAATGTATTAGATATACAAAGTATATAGCTGAACATTTGACCAATTGTATAATTACAGCTGGCAATGTTATTTATTAAAGGATATATTAATATTCACAGTGTACATACTGTATTAAATTAATAGATTGCTGTATACATAGTTAACATTCGATTTCATTTTCTTACTGTGCACTGGAAAATACTAAAAATGGAATGTGTAACTTATGTTGCTTGCTGAAATGACAGATAAAATTGTAAAATTCGGAAACAACACTGTTTAATGTCAAGGATGATCACAGTCTGTAAATTAATTTTTAATACATTCTGCATTCTTTTGTGCTGAGGGCTGAATTAAAACATTTTTTTACCAGTCTGGTGCAGTTGGGGCTTTTTAATGTGAGCAGTCCTCACAATGGGTCCAAAATCTGCAAGCAAAGCAAAATAAAATGAAGAAAAGCAATAAATTGAGGTATGAAAACACCTGGCTTCCAATTAAGTGAAAGCTAAACGTTTAATTTAGTCTTGGTAAAAACAACCACCACCAGACTTTGCATTGGTACTTGTTTGGATCCTTGGTGTCTTTAAATCATTGCAATGAGTAATATTTAAATTTCATATGTAATTTCTGGGAAGCGAGCTTTTTTGAACTGTGTATAGTGGAGATGGGGGTTATGGGCCTCCAGGTGTTGTTGACAGCAGCTTGCAGCAGCCTTAGGCCAGTGATGAAGAATGCTGGAAGCTGCAGTACAACAGCATCTGAGGTGCTGCTTAATCCCTGTCCATGATGTATAATATACAGTTGGAATAGATTTATTTAGTACTAGTCCATTGGCTAAAATTCTGTTCCGCAACCATCTTTATTTACACTCTTTGTAAGCTTAAAGCATAGAACTTGCTACTTTAAAACAAGGTATATTGGTTAATAGTTCATTTGTCTAATAATACCCAATAGTGAAAGAATGATGCTGTTGTTATCTTCTAAAGGGTAACATAGTCACCCTTTGAGGCCAGTGGGAGATGGCATGCAGACCTTTGGGAGAGCTTTCATCAAGGCCTTATTTGAGGTGAGAGAGTATTTAAAACATTTTTCCACTCAGTTTTGTTCCTTAAGCAAAGTGCATATTCATTTGACTTCAATTCATGTTCTTAGTATATGTACACATGAACACACAAATATAGTATTGATATTGTTCACACTCAGAACATTATGGACCAAGGTTCACAGTTGCCTTATGGTGAAGCCAGACAATTTGAAAGGATGCATTGTGTTCAGGTCTAAAAATTAGGTTGCCAAGCACACTGGTAGTAGGTCAAGAAAGCACATATCGGACTGTCAAAAGGTTTACCTTTTCATCCTTAGAAGCAGTGCATGCCAAACAACAGCACAAAACACTGTGGTGTCGTTTTTTGTATGGGCTATATCTGGGTCTACTTTGTTTTTCTATTACTGGAAGATACATATAGTTAGCTTGCATGAGTGGAAAAACCACTTACACACAGCAAACCTTGATTTCCCTATCTTTCTGCAATCCCCCTGTGCCATCCAATGGCACTCCAAAGTGTCCCATTGACCCCATGCATGTTTTGGGGTGGTATGGGTCAGGGTATGGAGGAGCCAGAAAAATCATGTTATGTAAACAAAGATCTGCTCGTTCTTTCCTGGATCCACAGAAAGACCTAGTTATGAATAATTCAGGTAACACTTCAATATACAAAGCTGCCCTTATTTAGCATCAGACCATTGATCTGTCTGACCCATTACTTTATATTTTGACTGGCAGTTTTCTAGGGTTTTCAGAAGAGAAGATTCTCCTCAATGCTGGCTCACTCGGGTATTTTAAAGAACTAGATTGAACTGATCTTCAGTAATGAATGCCACTAAATTATGGCCTGTTCTCAAATTAAAGATACCATGTGGCTTTAGATTTTCTCCTGAAACTCATCTTGCTATTCCCCATTAATCTGCTTGAAAGTACAAGAAGTGTGGCACAGTGGTTTGAGTGTTGGACTATGACTCTGGGAACCAGGGTTCAGTTCCCAGCTCTGCCATGAAACCCACTGGGCAAACTCCCTCTGAAGAACCTTACCAAGAAAACCCTATGATAGGGTTGCTATAAGAAAAAACGACTAGGAGCCACACAACAACAATAAGGATAATAGCAATTTTTGCGCTAAGAAGGAATACTAAACAGATGTATGAAGACATGAATGTTCTTCCTGAACCCAATAATTTTATGTAGAAACCTCAAAATGGCTTCCAAACCTAAGTTGGCATTTTCATGTCTCTAGATGGAAGATCTAATTACTGCTTCTTGACTATGTAAATATAAAAGCTTAAGTTATTTAAACCTCTTAGCAGCTGTTTCTAATTTTTCAAATTGAAATCTTTAAAATCTTAAAGTTCTTCAGGAAAATGGAAGCCCGTTTCTTACACCAAACACCTAATATTGATCGCTGTGACACTAATATGCAGAAGTTTCTCCAAGTAGTCCCTGTACTTAGGTGCAAACATCTGCCACAGTAAATTAACTTTATTTTCATTCACCACGAAGGGAAACAAATATTGAAATGGGTGGCAAATGTTCTCTAGAATATAAAGTGGAATGGGTAGATTGGCAAGAGGGCAATTTTCTGCCTCCAGTCAGAAAAATAAATACTTTTGACCAAGAAATGGGAGTCCCCAAAGTAGACACCCTGTTCCTTTTACCTTATGCATTAGACCAGGGGTAGGCAACCTTTCCCCTTTAAGGGCCGAGGG